TTAAAAATTATTAATGAAATTAATAATATAATATTAGTATTTTATTAAAAAAATATAACTAACTTGGGTGCGAACGTCAGTTTTGAACCAGTGATTATTTTATTTAATAGAAACTATTGTATTTAATATAGAGACATTTCGAACAGTAGTGAACTACAACAACATAAATTTTTTATTATAATTAGCTATTTATAGTATTGTAAAATAACCATCATCAGTGGTTAGTGTTCGAACCCTCTCTATCAAAAAATATAGTAAAGTCACTCTAAGTATAAACTTAATTGGTACTGCAGTATTTATTGTCGTAAATAATGGTTAGATTTTCAAAATTAAGTCTGGAGAAGTAGTTATATATATTTCAGCACTGCTTAAATGTTCATTGTAGACTTGCACTTTGTTTAAAAGGTCTTAAAAAAAAGTTATGGAATTAAATTGTAAAGATATGGGAACTACGTCAGCAATACTCGAAACTTCAATCCAACTGGATGAACTGAAATATATACCAAATTATTCTCTTCTAAGTTTTTTAAAAGTGTTTTAAAAATGTGTAATAAGTTTAAAGCCTCCTTTATTATTTTTTAGTTTTATTGGCTCTTCGGCTTTGTTTTACTCTAAAAAGCTTTTAACTGCATTTTTTAATGATATTTGTACACTTAAGGCTCGATCTTTATAAATAGAAGGGTTCATAATTCTCCAGAATTATGTGGTTTTCGAGAGTTATGGTTAAAAAGAGGTTTCGCTTAACTATTTAAAATTTCTGCCCTGAGTACGCCCATGTTAATCATTTAACAAAAATTAAACTGATTTAATTCAAATTAATTTTTATTTGTTTTTCAATAAATTTATTTATTAATTTATTTGTGAGTTAACGTTAAAATTAATTTTAAAGTTAACTAAGAGTAAGCAACTGAACTGCTAGGTCCTTCACACTTTTTCAGCAAATATTTCTTACTATTCTATGAAAATTTGAATATTTATATTTGCTGAATAGTCCGAATATCGAATTCTTTTATTCATTGAAGAGTTCAAATATAAAATTCGAAGCACTAGTACTTATCATCCCTTTGCGTTATGTATTTGTATGAAGAAATAAATTATTTCAGAAACGATTGGAAAATTAATGTTCGTTGAAAAGTCCGAATATCAAATTATTCGTATTCATCGATTAGTTCAAATATAAAATTATTCGTATAAAGTGAATAGCACTAATACTTAACATCCCTTTGTGTTATGTATTTGTATGACAAAAAAAATTTAATCCGGAAACAATTAGAAAATTTAAAAAAAAAGAATTTTTAATCAAAATCTAAATATTAATAAAAATCACTTAACAAAAATTAAACTTAACAAATTAAATTCAAATTAATCTTTATTCGTTTTTCAATAAATTTATTTATTAATTTATTTGTGAGTTAACGTCAATATCAATTTTAAAGTTAACTAAGAGTAAGTAATTGAACTGCTAGGTCCTTCACACTTTTTCAGCAAATAATTCTTAGTATTCTATGAAAATTTGAATATTTATACTCGCTGAATAGTCCGAATATCAAATTATTCGTATTCATTGAATAGTTCGAATATCAAATTAGGCGTATTCGTTGAATAGTTCGAATATCAAATTCTTCGTATTCATTGAAGAGTTCGAATATCAAATATCGTTGAATAGTTCGAATATTTAATTACTCGAGTATCATATTTGTATGAGAAAATAAATAATTTAAGAAATAATTGGAAAATTAGAAAAAAAATTGTTTAATCCAAATATTAATATTAATGAAAATCACTAAACATTAATTAAATTATTGAGAGACGTGTTGTGTGTTCTTTCAAATTTATGGTTTTGTTAAATAATTTATATTCATTTAAATGAAATCACTTTATCCATCATCACATCAAAAATAATTGGCCAAGTATTGACTGAACTGATGACGGCGCTAACCTTTTATTGCCACAACAACCGGTGAATGGTAAATGTTACCGGAATCGTAACGTTTTGACCAGATCAAATGAAATGAAATAAAATTCAATAAAAAGGTCTGAAAACACACGGAAGGTGCCCCCAATTTGTTGGTGTGGTGTATCATTAACAATGTTTGGGGCTTTGTGGTTGTTGTTGGGAATAACCAAATGCGCACGCGTAACCACTCACAGAGCGATTCGCACTGATTCATAATAAGAAATCGTAAAAAAGTGGCTTCAAACAATAAAAAATGGAACTCTGAGGCGGCAATAAAATTCGCACAAAATTAAAGGTTTCAGTTTTGATGAACACTTGCGAGGCAATTTGAAGATTGAAGATTTATTGTAAACGGAAAAAAGTATGAACGTGCAAATGAAAAGTTTTTATCATTTAAAGGCAGTTAAAAGGCAAATACGAGGGTAATTACCATTATTTGAAACGATTTCAAGCTCAAGTGGGCGGGTGTTAAGTTTAGTGCAACGGAAAGCAGAAAAAACAATTTATTTTTCCATCTCAACTTACAGAAATGAAAAAAAAAACACACTTTCTTCCATGTTGCCACATGTGGCAATTTATGATATTTCTAAACCAACATTACAAGATTTGTGCAGATTTTAAGACACTTTTGTTTTTTTTTTGTTTTTTTGTTGTTGTATATGTCGTATGGATGCAATTTGTTAAAAATCTGTGTATGGGTTGAAATGCATTAATTACACACATTTCGATGATTTGTGTGTATAATGCGGGGATGTTGCTTTCCCACTGGACACTTTTTCGCAAGCGCATTTGCAGAGATGATATTTGAGTTCATTTCGTTGTTGTTATACCAGTAATTGCTGATTCGTCTTTTAAAAATAGTTTCCCGTGTATGCTAAAAGCCATAAACCCGTATAAGAATTACAGCAAATTATCGAATGCGCAGACTTTAAGCTGACACACAAAGTTTTTAGATCTTGGAAGATGCACTGAAATTAAAATTATGAAGAAGTGAGCAAGAACTCAAGAACTCAAGTAATGCTAATACTTTTCTAAAACTGATTGACAGTTGAACCAATACCTACTAGTTCTTTTCTGAAAAAAAAAAATTGAATTAAGGAAAAGAGTCGCATTTATGATTATTTTTTTGAATTTGAAGTTATTAATAATGCAATAAGATATCTGGTCTTATGTTCCACATAATAAAACAAGTATGTCCTTATCTAGTAAATTTATAAAAATTTAAAATGTTATACTTCTTTAATGAGTTTTTATAAATTCAAATTTTTATATATTGTTGTTGTTGTTGTTGTGATTTGAGTTAGTGCTATTGCGCACTTTTACTCTTTGGTCCCCAGCTTATCCCCACCACACACTCAACTTTAACTGTACTAGAATCATTATCATTTATTTATCTTTTAACTGATGACGGACCGTAGATCAGTATATCTTCCTGTGCGTCCTCAGGTGTACTTAAGGTTTGTTAGGGCGAGGTTGGGCAACATATCAACTTTTGTGAATAACTTTAGGGCTCTGTCCTTATTTTCACTGAGTCGTTTCTTAGATCTCTACGCATGTCTGTTGTTCTAATATACCAAGGAATCTTAATTAGTCTTCTTAAAGCCAGATTTTGTGCTATCTGTAATTGCTTTATGGCAGTATTTGAGGCTTTGCGGTATGTTACACATCCGTAAAGTAGTGCTGGCCTAATGATTTAAGTATATATGTTTTATGTTTAGAATTTTTATTAAATTTGATATTAACGTCAGTAATGACACTGTCGACTATTTTACTTAATAGAAACTATTGTATTCAATACAGAGATATCGAACAGTACTGAATTGCAACAACAAAGATTTTTATTTACTTACGCATAAAGAGGTATTTCGAACTGTATCAAATCATAACAACAAAAATTTTTTTAAATTATTTTATTTTAACTAAATTTTTGGCGAGCATACAGCTATTTCGATTATTGCCAAATACCCATCATCAGTAGTCTTGGAAATAGTTCTTGTATTTAATTATTCGTAAATAATTTTTTGAGACTGCAAGTACCAAGTGCGGAACTCGTGCCCTACCAAATTTGAAGCTCAGAGTTAACGTTCATTAACCAACTAACCCTAAGCCGTACTTGAAACCTCTCAACTAGAAGTTATAAAAAAGTTTGGGCAATTTATATTAACCTACGATTTAAGCAATGAATTTGAATGAAATGAATGAATTTACAATGAAAAGTTTTACATCGATACTTAACTCAAAGTTCATTTCACGTGCTGTTAAAGATTTTGCAGGGAATTCTACAAAGAGATTTGAGGCGATAAGTAAATCTACTTTAAGAGTTTTCCGGCGAAGTATAATGGGCAGTTTCTTGATATATTACTCATTAATATTACTGTTAAAGGTTTAAGGTCTTACAGCGCAATGTAAAAGCACGTTGGCGGTGAGAACTGAATCTCTTTTAAAAATTTTTCGTCAAAATTTAATGAATAAAGGAATTTAACAGATAATGGAAGGAGTGGTAGTTATCCACCAATAGTAAATACAAAAAAATATGGCCAAAAGAAGACTTTGGAACATCTTTTATGTTTTGCTCGTTATTATGAGCACACGCAGCAGAGCACACTTAGTTCATAGATATCTCAGAAATGGGATTTGAAGCACTCTTTTAACGTGAAAGTATCTTGATACGATTATTACAAAAAAAAATACAGAGATGTTTTTTCATTTAGTATTACTGCAGATCCATAGAATTATATGTGGCTGGATTAATGTTTATTATTAGATCATTATATAGTCTCGTAATCAAAGCAATCAGCATATTTATTTTCTGTTATCTTTCATATATATCTTTAAAATTATTTATATCGAGATGAATCGAATTCCCGAATCAACGAAGGGGGAACAATATATCTCTATACAGCAGTGCACAATCCTAAAATTTTCAATAATAATAATTTCTAACAATAATCATCTTTCAAGTTTGGCAGTGAAAAATATAATATACATATATTTTAAAACTTAAATATTATATATTAAAAAAATTTGAATGTCAAAGTTTTTTTTTAAACTTTATAGATAAAACTAAACTAAACTTTTGTAAAAAAATATTTTCAAAATTGGTGGTGTTAACTATTTTCTATCGAACTTATCCATATAACAATAGACGCAGGCTTCAAAATTTTAAGATCAAACAGTTATAAAAACTTCAATATATCGGAGAAAGCGGTGAGTCTTTTAGGTATATATTATTAATAGTAATTTTTTATTTTTACATAACTGAAGAGAAGTGTAGAGCTGGAGAAGAGGAAAACAATTCAGATATCTGTAGAAGTTTTTAATATTAAAGCAAAAAATTTGCATCGTATCGAAATATTACATAGTACTTTAATATCTACTAGAAATATTATACTTCTTTAGGACTATATTATTGAAGACCAAACTAACATTTTAAAATGTTTGAATTATATATTATATAATCTTTATATTCTAAACCAAATAGGTTCTCTGTACTAGTTTTGCCAATTTCAGTTGATAAAATATATCTAACGAACCTCAAAATGGTGTCGATAATAAGATTTGATTTTTTAACTCGTAATCGGTTAGTATTTAAGGTCTGCTGTTCAATTTGAAGTTTAAATTATTTGCAAAAATAAAATAAGTCTGTAAGAAAGAGTTATATAAAGTTTTTCTCCGACGTTTGACATCTAACAGTGTTATTTTGGTAGAATATGGGTCACAAAATGGGCCTCATTGAAAGAACTGCTTTATTGTTATATTTATGATGTAAAGATTGGTTTTAGTGTCTAACTGAGATTCGATTAAAACCTGAACATTTTTATTTTTCGAAAAAGGGTTTTCTAATATATTTACTTATTGTATCGCTTCAAGCTAGAAAATGTATTTTTTCATATACTAAGGGCTTAAAAATACAAGTTGTTTACATTATGGTTGGTACGTACCATTCGGTGCCTTAGCTGTGTGAATATTATCCTCGCTGGGAAGTTTTATCTCAGTTAGATAAATTTATCTAAGTTAGATGAATTTTACCTCTGCTAAACGGATTAAATCGAGCATGCAAACACTACGCAGCCATTATGGTTAAGTAATAAGAATCGATTATATATGTAATCCCGCTTTAGCCGAAATAGAGTTCCCATTTTTTCTCGTAAAATGCTCTCTAAATTTTACCTTATAGAAATTTTATATAAAATGCACATAATTCTGCTTATCCTTTGTAAATATCCGGTAAAGCAGTAGCAGTAATAGTCATAGTATAAATCATACTAAAATTTCACTTGTGAAATCCATTAAAATATTCTATTTTGATAGATTCTACTAGGAATAGGTTCAAATTTGTGTTTCTAATCCATCTTTTTATAAAAAGGAATGACATCAAATTGTGAAAATGAGGGAATTGTACGCTGACGTGAGTTATTTAATACCTTGGATAGTTGGTTAGATTCTAGAATAAATATTTTACATAAATAGATTGATTTGATCGTCAAAATTGCACAGTTATTTCTTTTAAATTGAACTTTATATTGATCAAATAAATTTAATTAATTAAAATAAAATCTTGCATATTTTAATGTTAATTTTTTTTACCGAAAATGATGCAACTTATGACATAATAAACTACATTTAAAAGTTAAGAGGGTGCGAATAGAAATGAAAAGACAAAAACAAAAATTTCAGTTAATTTACTGAAGTTTGGCTGACAATCCAACATATCAAAAAAATATACATTTTACCTAAAATCTTATTTTCGCTATAAAAATTGTAAAACTACATAATATCAACTCTCCAATCCTTTCATTCACAGTTGCATTCAAGTTCGCAAAATGGCAACACAAAAGTCAAAAGGAAAATGTGTAGACAATGTTTTTGAAAATCGTTACAAATCTGCAAGTCGTAAAGAAGGATTTACTAATTCAAAATATGTAGCACCGGTTCCAGTTACCAAGGAGAAAAGTATCAAGTCGTCTAGTTATGGTGAAGTAAATAAGAAACCGCAATCACCTAAGATTCCCTTCGTTTCAAGAATTCGTATACCGAGTGTTTCAGATCCTCGTGGTAAGCATGTACCTAATGGTTCTAAAAATAATTTACCAGAGGTAAGTGCTGACAAAAAAGTAAAGTCGGACGGTAAGATAGTTGTTGGAAATTTGAAAACCAATTCCCAAACCAATGAGATCGGAGTAAAGCTGCGTAAATCTAGTGAAGCTATAGCCAGCAGCACAATGACTGAGGACAATGAATGTATCAACAATCAATATAGTGTAGCTGATTTCCTGCAAAAGAGATCATTATCAGATATTGGCACTATATCACACCAAAAGTCGGTTTTAGAGGATAGAAAAAATCAATCTAAAGTAGCAATTATATCTAACGATTATTCGTTGGTTAAGAGTAATCCTTCTACCACTTATGCTGAATGCCATCTTAATCGTCAATATGCAGCCATGAAGATATATTCCGTTTTACTCTTTAATGTGTGGCAAAAGAAACTCCGTGAAGTCGATCGCATTACTGAGAAACTAGAAGCCATCAAAAAGTCTTACATTGGCTGCAGAAATCAAAAACTTGTGGTTAGTACAATGCTTCGTATGGAGCAAAAGCGTAATCAGAAAATTCGTCAAAAACTGGATGAGTCTACTGAACTATTACGTACAACTAATGAATCATGCAAGTTCTTACAAAGTACAGTTAATTCAATAACCACTGAGAAAAAGGTTCTAGAACAGGAAATTAAAAATAAAGACAATCAATATGATGATCTCCAAACTACAATTGCCTTAGTCGAATCCGAACTAACCAAAGCAAGATGTGAACAAGCTGAGTTACGTTTTAAGCTTAACGCAGAGAGGTTCCAGTCTGAGATGTTGACCAAACAAGTTAATAATTTGGTAGGAGTTATATTTATGTTGAATCAACAAAGGCGTGTATTGTCCAATAAATTGTTCATGGTATTAGCATCAAAAAATATACAGTATCTGCACATGCAAACTGAAGTTAAAAGTCTTCAGAGTCTGTGTGATGAACTAAAGTTGAAAGAACTTGACATTAAGAAATATCAAGAGGAAGAAGAAGTACTCAAGAAGGAATATGAAGGTTTACGTTTAGATATTACTAATCTGGAAAATTCCTTAAAGGATACTTATGTGCAGCGCTTTAAGCATTTCTGGAGTAGTCAGTTCAATTTCCCGATTGTAGCATTACATACGCTTAAATTCGTATTATATTTTGTAATGCCTATTGCTCCAACACTATTTTTTGGCTCAGGACCTGCGAAGAAGATACCCTGAAGATATATTGACGTAGAATCTTGTATTTGTTTTTTCTTTGTTTTTTTGATATTCAGTACATTTAACAAAAATTTCATTTTTAGAAATATTATTGCTGATGTATTGATTGCTGTTGATTGTTTTTCTGACTGGTGATCTTGAAGTAAAATTTTTAATTAATTTATAGGTTATTAACAGTATATTGTGTATTTTTGAATTAAATTTCTTTAAATAAGTAAGATGTTTAAAAAATTTTACTAATAAAATCTATAAGTTTTTAATTTATGATATACTTAATAACATAAAACATCGGAAGTAACCATCAAGCAGTTTGGCATTTTTACTGCCTCATATGAAGGGTGAACAACTATTCAACTCAACGGTATAATTTATTGCTTTTTTTATCTTTACTGGTTAAGTTTCAAATAATTTTGATTCTTGGTTATTCCAATTATTGCTCAGATACAAATTTCTTCTATTAAAATTCATGACTTGTTTTCGAGTGCGTGTCAAGTGTTAAAGGAAATGTTATTTTCTTCACGTACTACAAGTAATGGTTTTCCTTTTCACACATCGAATGCATTATTCAAATATTAATTTCATTTAAAATTTTTGATTTATGTGAAATTTTGGGAAAGCAGAAGTGAGAGTTTCAGTCAAAAAGTTGTAAAATTTGATGTCAATAACATAATTTTTTATATATTACATTGAAGTCATATGACAATCATATAATAGAATTAAGTTGATCTCAATGCAAGCTATTAATATTAACTCTATAATTTTTTAAAAAATATTTTGTAGGTATAAAACATGGACTTGCTGCAAAAAATGATAGTTTTATATCTTTTATTTAATATTATATATAAAATTATTATTAAAAGATTGCTTATAACAACTAAACAATTTGAAGTTATACGCGAGGCATTAGTCTCAGGTAAGTCCTTTTACAAATATTGTAATAATAAAAGAGAAATACTCGTAACATGAAACAGTATTCTGCTTATAAGAGTAGGAATTAGTACCTTAATATCACTAATCTTGCAATAACAGTAAACAAATATATATATTCTGCAGTTATATATATTGAAATTTACTCTGTGTATCAGTAGAGTAAGTATTATTACCTTAAGATCACTGATCTTGCAATAACAGTAATCAAAAAAATAAAGTCTGCAGTTAAACATTTCAATATTAGGACTATAAAGTTACTAATACATTACTACTGCAATGGTTTGTAAATAAATGAAAACTATTTCTTTCTATAACACTCCTGCTATAGTGAAATATACAATTTAAAGCCCATCCGTTATTTCGAATCCTTTATTATATGGAAAGTTTTAAATTTTTTTAAACTGAATCACTTAATACATTATCTATTCAAAAAGAAATATAATTTTGTAATAAATTATATTTCTTTATTTACTTATAACAATATATAATACTCAAGTTGACGTTGGGGTTATGCACCCAAGGACGGTAACAAAAAAAATGACCGAAAACAAAACAAACTGGGATCGTATAACAATGTTTACTGAAAAGATCCTGAGGTTGAAGAAAGTAAATCTGAACAGAAGACAGCTGGATCAAGCAGATGTGTCACATCAATATAAAAGCAATGGTTAAACACCTGAAGCAGTAACGGGGCCTGAACACAGGGTACACCGATGAAAGTTCTGAATGACTAATCCCACTTTAAAGAAATATTTATGTAGTTCTGGAGTAGGACAAGTTCTGTAGGAATAAGGGAGAGTGGTTTTAGTTTGTGCGAGTAGGGCATTCACTTCCTGGGGCGCCGGATTGTGGTCAGTGCGTAGGCAACATATACATATAAGGTTCATATGAATTTGCTTGGCTGGAATCTGAGGTTTTGATTATAATGCTACTACTTGATATATCATTTGTAAAGATATTTTGCGCTGATATACGTTAATTTTGATTACCCATACAATGCAATTATTGAAACTAATATCTTGCTAAAAATGATTTTATTCAATACATTTTTCTCGTTTGAATATTGTATGGATACAGAATCATACTTCCAATTTGGATCGAAGATAATACAGCTGACAATTGGTACCTTTAAAAAATAAAATATAGAACTTAATTAAAAAAATGTGTTTTATATACAACATATCTTAAAAATAGATCACTTTTTATGTTGTTAAGCTTAGTACTATATATAAACAGAGGTTAGTTGTAGTCTGAACTTGTTGGACACATATGGGTTTTTTCAAGATAACTTTTTGTCCAAATATTCTCAAGTGCCCGTTCATCTATTTGTTATATTGATTTTATAGAACAAAAGCCTTTCATAAATAAATTTATATAGTAGTTCTGGAGCAGATACACATTCATAAAAATAAAACAGATTTTCCGTTCCGTTCGAAAAGATTGGAAAATTTGTTTTAAAAAATTATCTCAACGCGGCCATCAAAGTAGAATAAAAATGGGTTAATACCATCTTGATTTGACACGCAAAATTGTATCTTATGTCTCCGTTCATCAACTATTTATATTTAATATATAAAAAGTTTATGCTTCTGTCATACTAAAACTAAAAATCTATTGGACACAACTGAATTCGAAATGAGATATTGTTTTTTTGCAATTGTAATTTTGCTAATTATTGTGGATTTTGCTGGGAAAACGGTTTGTTAGAACATCTAAAAGTGCTAATTTTGTCATTAAATAATTTTATTTGATTCAAATATTAGCATGGCTTCTTTGATATTGAAAATTTAACTTGCAATCACAACACGAAATTCTGCAATCAACAATTTTGTTCGGTCACAAAACGGAAATCAAAAATTTCGCTACTCAGTTTCGGTTGCAATTTTGATCAACCTGTAGATAATATAATGGTGCAATATAATTTGCATATAATTACAAAGTTTGATGACTGCTTGATTTCAGGTTCAATTCACTCTACAGCGTAAAGATGGTACAAACTTTAAAACTTATATAGTTGATACCGACGAGAACTTATGTGATGTCTTCACCAAAAAGTCTTACTCACAAATCTTGCTGCGCATCTTAGAAATGGGTCCAAACTCGTATAGACATATCAAATGTCCCTTAAAAGTGAGTACAATGGTGCAATATAAACCCATAATACGTAGTTTAATTTTTATAGGGTAATGTGACTATCATGCGTTTGCCATTTATACTTAATTTTGCGCCTGGCATATTTCCAGCTGGGGAATATAAATTCCTTAGTCGAATGCATGTGCTTCAAGAAGATTTGGCTCAATTAAACTTGTCATTTGCTGTGCGTAAAAGTAAATACCTGTAATGAAATCCTTAATAAATTGCTTAATCGCAATCAATACGCGTTTCTGATTTCATATTTATGTTTTTAATTTGACACTGCCACCAGGTCAAGAATATGTAAGAATTACGATTTTAATGCAAATATTCCCTCGCCAAAAGTTGTCAACCGGTATTAGTCTTATTTTTACAGCGATAAATACCAGACGAGTTTTGAAGAACTTAATTTGCATAGATGCAACCTAAGCTTTACTCATTAAACAAGTGCAGGATTTAGCACAAGACAGCCATGGCACGTTCATAGATTCAGAATGAAAAGGCTTAACTATGAAAGGTTGCTGAAGCAGTTGGAATGTAACTAGTTTATATCGCATAGAGATTTTCTCCTGATACAGCGTACTTTTAAATTAATCAACGTATTTATTTAACCAAACAAGGAATTATTAGCACTAATATATTACAAATTCAAATTATTGGTAAAAGTAAAGCATTACTTTTTAGTTCAAAATTTGTAGAGGTTTTCGAAAAGTAGTGAACTATAACAACAAAAATTCTTTTTTATATTATTTTAATTAATTCAATTTTTTACTGACCATACCGCTAATTCGAGTATGAAATTATTATTTATATTTAATAATTCGTAAATAATTTTTTGAGACTGTAAGTACCAGGAATCGAACTCATGCCCTGCCAAATTTGAAGCTCAGAGTCAGTGCTCCTTAACCAACTTACCCAAAGTCGTACTTGACTTGTATGTTAGCACATTTTTCTGGAGTTTTACTTTGCTGTGAAAGTTTTATTAACAAATGCACTTGCTGTGTTTATATTAGACCGAAATCATATACCAACTGTAGGATAATTGAATTAATTAATTATATTTTTATTCTTAATTGTTAAATTACAATAATATTCTGTTTGTAGAGGAAGTTTTTGTTAAAAATTTAGGATATTTACTTATATTATAAAAAAAATTCAATTAGCATTAAGACATATTGTCAATTTTTAGTATATATATATACTTCCGAAAGTACTTATATATATTATATTTCGAAAGTATCTTAAATATCAAAGAACAATATATTATGCACCAATTTATACAATTATCTTATATGCCAAGGAATTACTTATGTGGGAAACAGCCACATTTTGTGAATAAATATAGTTTAATTCATAAATCTATCCATCTATGGTATATATTAAATTGAAGAATCTTTTTTTAGATCGATGCTGTTCTTAGTTCGCTAAAACCACTCCTTATAGCACTACTTTCAACTCCGAGCCACATGTCTTAGAAAAGTGATTACTAAAGTTTTCTTAACCTTTCTTGCTTTCAATTATCACAATAAGATTTACCTGTGTTAGTGCAGTTACACAACGCAGGGTTTATACCCTGCTAGACCTTTATGGAGTTCAAAAGATATCGCAAAAATTTGTCTGGCACTGATCCATACTTGAAAGAAATACCTTGATAGGAATCTTATTTTGGAGAATGAAATAAAACTGTGTGTTTTAGATATAATACAATTAAACAGTTTATGAAATGTTGGATTTAAAAAATACTCAAAATTCATGAAGAGGAGACAATGAATCTCTAGGTTGGAGTGAAAATTTTCTTAAAAAAAAATTATAATAATAGTGCAGTAAATACTGATTGACTTAATGGATGGTGATGCCACCAATCTAACAGTTAAGTAAACACATCTTTAGGTTATGTACTTTTAGCGAGTCTATTTCTAAATGATAGCTCGAATTATACTTACTTCAGATGTCAATTTTGGAATGGTAATTTCAAAGCATTTTATTGTTCTCCGATAATAACTGATTACATAGATAGTAGGTGAAAGCTGTGAAATAATTCGAATAGCAAAGTATAGGTTTTGATATTGTAGTTAATTAGATAATATTTACTCCTTCCTAAGTCTTGCAAG